GCACACGAAACACTCAGGTTCTGGAACAGGACTGCAGTCCAAAAGTGGACGAACAACCAGAACTTTCCGCCAGAGTTTACAGCTGGTGAACACGAAGAAGGAAAAAGAAGAAGAAGTAGAAGAAAGCGAGGGTCTAAAATGAAGCACACAAAATACACGTGATGGCAACAACGTTCCTGAAATCCCATACTCTAATTGTTTAAGACTTTTCTTGCCCGACTCTCTAGCGTTGTTGGCTAAACCGGACTACGCAGTGACAGGGTGACGAACTCCTTGTGATCCGGGTTCACTCCCGGGGGTAGGCAGAAAAGCCACATTTCGTCCCAGATTTACGGTACCTATCATGGAATCAAGGCCGAAAGGTTGCGATATCCATAGTACCGAGCCAAAGGGTTAACAACTCATGGCTTCTGGATATTTAACAAACAAAGACATAAGACTTCTCTTAATGGTTCGGGTCTTGCTAGTCACACTTACCATCGTCATTCTCTGGGATTCACATGGCTCCCCCTAGCACAGTATAACACTAGTTTGGAAAGACAGAAACATACCAACAGTCTGAAAGCATTGCGCGTAAAAGCAATACGTACGCAGCTTTGAATTAGTTTAAAGGAACACTGAGGGGGAAAAAAAAAAACCCAGTTAATTATCTCAGTACGAAGAATACGTTTCCCGGTGTGTGGTCAGATACCCCATTTTGTAGGGCGAAAGAATTAACCACTTACACGACAAGCATGTAATAAAAGCCACTAATGGTGGGTGAGGGACATCCCTACGAAGCCTTACATTGTTTAAGTTAATAATAATAATAATTATAATGATGTTTAATAGTAAATAAATATTATGCAGCAAATTTATTGAGAAACAGAAGATCAAATGGTTTGGAAATCTAGCAAGAATGCAGTTAGAACAATTACCAGCGCAGGGGTGATCTGAAGTGAAATCAAGTGGCCGCCCTAGGAGAACATAAACTGGTGACATTAAAGAGCGTTGACACGAAACGACAATAGCCATTGCTGCCCACCTAGCAATGGATAGCAAACTGTTTCTCCCCACGACGCTTAACGACAGAAGTGGAAATTATTAATGACGAGTAAATAGATATAACCCAAAAAAAAAATTTCAAATATTTTACTACGTGTAAACAGCGATTTAAAAAAGACAGCTAATTATGAGGGGTGAAATAGGGGGGAAAAGGTGGGGTGGGGGGGGGGCGCTCTACGTTTTGTTTTAGACAGAGGTTCTTTAGCCCCAAAACCACCCTCCTCCCCTTTTACGTTTTTTTTTTCTTATAAGGTCCTGAACTCGGTGCTGACTGACTTATGACTTTCTACCCCACCACAATATAGGCCGCAATATAGGCAGGCCATCAATATGGCCAATTGTCCACGGTGATCCTCATCCACATGGTGGCACTTTGGGTCATCGGGTGTTTATCGCTTGTGTGATGTCCTGGTGGGGTAGAAAGTCATTCATTCAAGAGCCAGAGTAGAACTTCAAAAAATTTCATCCTAAAAAGGACGGAAAGTGATAACAATTTTTAGGCTCGGTGCTTTCCGGGGCGTGTTGTTTACAATACTGAAAGACGTAACAGCTGACAAGGACAGAATGTATTACATTACAGGCTTAGCTTGTCTTTCTTCTCATACTCAAAAATGTTATATAAGTTATTTACACAGGCTTCTTTAGAATTAAAAGCTAAAGGAGGTCGTGGTTATTTATTATTCCTGGGGCTTCCCTAACACGCATCATACTTCTAAATATAACTAACGGAATAAATATCTTGACCTCGCGACTTCAACCAACCAATCACGACCGCCCACCAGGGCTGCCGAAAATGTAAGGGAATAGTACCAAATATGTTTTGAAAAGGTACCAAAACACATCAGAAGTTATCAAATTTTAAATCAACACACCTAGTCAGCCCCCCCATACACACACATACGCACACAGACACACCTATATTTGTTCAGAACTTAAATTATTTGTCGATTATGTTAGTGCTGTACCGTTTTATTTTGCGGCTAATTTGCTAGAGTTGCTGTGACGGCATTCAGTCGGTGTAACTAGAATCCAGAATCAATAACTGTCATCTCTTTAATACATTTATTATCCAAGTCTTCAAACAATATCGATTTTTATTATTTTAAAATTGTTAAGCAGAGAGAGAATTCGTTCTACAGTTGCAGAAGAATGAGGTAATACTTAGATACTAAGCCCACATGTGAATACTAATGGCAAGTCATTTTTTTTTCCAGTTTACCTATGAAACACACACACACATAAACTGGTTTTTTTCGACACTAATTGTTTTTTTTTTTAACCCTAGGATGTCCGCCCTAAATACACACTGGCCAACCTTTCATTCATGCTTGCTCAGGCTAGTCTATGTTAAAGGGGTATCACGTTGTATTGTCTTTGCAAAGCTTTTTGCGCTGTGTGTTACTAGTTGTGAGCAGCGGTCGGCGACATTGCGTATATAGTAACTTTCTCTCACTTGAAGTACAACATGAATTTACCCACCACAAACAGTTTTGAAACCATAGGTCGTACGCTGTACCCATTCGTGGGACGCAGGCTCAAGCTGTGGGATTGAGGGGTTAGGGACAGGGACACTTTAGATATCGGGTCGTTTAAAGCTGGTGATAACATCTGAGACAGTACAACATGACACCCCTGTAATATAGACTAGCCTGAGCAAGCATGAATGAAAGGTCAACCAGTGTGTATATGTGCCGGACATCGCATTAATTAAGAGTTAAGAACCTTAATTGGTAGATCTTGCGTTATTTCTGTATTTCCCTCCACTCTTTATTTGCGCATAATGTTCTTCTTTAACAAGGCTAATAAATTACATGACAAATGTCATAACTGATTTCAGTTATTCTTCAGTAAAAACACTTATTGGATTTAGCGTACAGAGCAAAACTTAAAATACCGATCAAATCTTTTATTACCTAACAAAACGGTGGCGTGGTATCAAAAGTAGTTTTGTAAGGCCATTGTCAAATTATATTTTGTACTAAAGTACCAACTTCAGTAGCTCTGCAGCCGACCCTGACTACCGGAAGCGCCCGGGACTACACTTGCTTGCCTACAGCAGTCGGGAGCAGTCCCAGGGACAGGGTCGTCGATTTCTTCTTGTGAAAGTTTTCGCGGTTAAACTGCGTTTTTGGTATGTTTAATTCGCAAGGAATGGCTGATTCGGGCATCGAAGTGGATTTTATGAGCTACAGTGGAGCCGAACATGATCCGGCGATTGACCAGTCCAGCTTTTATGAGCTAAAAAGCAAAGTTGTTGTTGGCAGGTGGGCGTTTTCGTGTTTGTGCTGTGTTTACTATACGGGCTTCATGGGCTTCGACTTGCCCTGTTTGTAGTATATTTATTTAGATCGATGATCTTGGTCTGTTCCGTGTCGAGCCTAACAAGTGTAACTCTATACGTACTACTAGCGAAATCACCATACGATTATTATCATTATTGGTTACTCTGTATTAGGTATACACATTTCATTTATTATTTAACCTTCTATACTAATACTTCTATCTATCCCACTTTCGTGACTTCCTCTTGCTGAAAAGATTTAACTGCTTTGCAGGATTATTGCAACTCTGAAGTTTAACAATTTTGTAATAGGAATTGACGTAATTGTCGCAATAATATTAACTGCTTTGAACTGATAAAGTTAAAGTCAAAAGGATCGACTTAATTAAATGAACCACTGGGTTTATCACATACAGCTTATTTAACATTTATAATTTATTCTTAGCGAGTAGCTCAAAGCATAAACTCCGTATCTCCAGCAACGACAAATCCGGCAGATTGTTCGTAAAATTTGCGCACGTGAACCGGACGACACAGAGCGTGAAATGAAACTACAACCTTGACAATGTGAGGTGGATAGTTTACCCACTTTAACAAGATTTGTCTTTCCTCCTTCTCTCCCCCCCCCCCCCCCCCAATAATTTCCCTTCCGTGCTGAGTCATAGGCGCAATATGTAAGCAACTTAGACTGAAACAGCTGGCGTCTACCGAATTGTTACATCTAGATTTAGGTTACTGATATTCTGTTCTGTAGCCAACCAAACTAATACTTATTACTCATACTAATTGAAATTAAGTTAACATGACTGTGCCAGTGACCTTAATTTATGGTATTATATTACAACTCATGTTGCCATACATTACAAGTCAGTGAAACAAGTTCATTTCGTGACACAAGAAGACATAATTAAGTGTAGGGAGTGAATATTATCGGTGTATAAAAATAGATTGGGTTCACTTTCGTGTAGGTTTTGTTTTATCCTCGAAAAAAATTTTTAAAAAAAAAAAACGAAGAAAAGATGTAGGTACTAGTCACAAAGTGTGTAAAAGCAATGCTGATACCATCTGCATTGTCTGTTATATAGTATTGCTGAACCCCTCCCCCCCCTCCTCCTAAAAAAAGGTGCAAGTATCACTTACCCTTTTAAAGCTAAAAAAAAAAAAAAAAAAGCCAAACTTAGAAGTTTTGTACTAGTAGTAATGTCGGCATCTATGGCTTAGGCGGGGGAGATCATGACTTACATTGCCACACATCATGGACTATTGAAGGAAACTTGTGCTGTGCATAGCAGGGACTTCATCGCAGGCCTTAATTGATTGTGTGAGTGAAGTTGAACCCCACTAGGACCGCACACTGAGTGATTTTTTAACACCTGATGGCACACCTGATGTCCCATTACTAGGATAAGAATCCCATAGGTAAAAATCCCAGAAGCCTTCTTGTTCAACCGTGAGATTATTCTGGGGTCCCCACTGGTTTACAGACTAACCTGAAATCCAAATACGGTAAGTTTAAGTGGTGTGTGCTAGTAAATTGATCTTGGAATCACTCACCATCGCCATAAACTGTAGTTGACACACCTGCCCATAGCACGTTATAAAACTATCATGCAGAAAGATAGAAATGTGCCAGCAACATTTTAATCTAATCTTTCCTGGTTATTTCCATTTGCAGCCCAGTGACAGATATCAAACATGCAAGCATGCCCATGAGAGCAAATCTGAAACAGCAGCTACAGAGGCAGCAGCTGCTTGAGCAGGAAAAACGTGAACAGCTTTCTCAGTCATTAAAAGCAAACACACATTTGACAGGGTCAATCGGCATCGCAGTTCCAAGCGCTGTGGAAGCTGCGGAAGTTCCGTCTACAGTTTTAGAGGTGGGTGTATTTTTGTGTTTAAAACAGTGTTTTTACTTTACGAAATTCTTGTTCTTTGCGTTCACCGGCTGTAAGCTCTGGTGGAAAGTTCTGGATGTTCGTCCACTTCTAGACTCTGGTCCTGTTCCAGAACCTGAGTGTTGCATGCACATCGGTTTCACAGGTCTGACTCATTTGCATGCAGACTGTTAGTTCCTTGCCTCTCAGGCAAATGTACTCTGACTTCTAAGGAAGCTCCAAATTAGTCAACTCTTACGACATGCTTTTGAGCAGGCAGTGGGTCTCTTCTTGTTTTTCCCACAATTGGATCCTGGAAACAGTTTATTGCCTGGCACATTTCGGCTGATTTCATCAGATGTGTTACAACAGAGTTTACATTATTATATAATGAAGCACAGGAATCATTAGTCTTTCGACTTCATGATGATCACAAAGAGACAGTGCAGTTTATGTATTTCAGTTGAATGGATTGAACATATCTGCTTCATTCATTATGTGTTGATGTAAAATATCTGCGAAGATGTGACAAAAAGTTAAAAAGTTAAGTAAAGGCCCATTTTCTACGTTCTCAGGCCTATAGGGCTAGACCTATGTTTTATAGACCAATCAGCACTCACTGGGTGATGTGGTCATTATGCTTCTGGCTGCCTTTACTTCCCAGGACTATACCTGGTACCCACTCTAGGTTTGGTTGACCTGGGAGCCAAATTCATTTAAAAAAAATAGTCCAGACTTTTTTCAGGATGCGAACTGATGACCCTTTGTTCCGCAAGCAAGCGTCTAGCCGCTACACTACGAAGGCTCCGATAATATATATCAGGCAATGAACTTCGCGATCTGTTTTTGGTGTGTTTTATTATTGAAATATTTCTGTGTACTTAAAGAGAAATAAACAGATGTCCGCCCCGTGAGGCCATAGTGTTATTATATATAACAAAGAAATAGACAGGTATTGATTAGCACTTATAGAAAGAAATAGAAAGATAGAGGGACACACTTGACAACATAAAAATCAAAAGGTTAAGTTTGCATGCTGTCGAATCGAATCTGTCACCTCCAAATGATGACACTACATATTATATGTGATTCCCAGTCTACACACATTGTGTTTCTTTGTCAGTGTTAAGGAGTTCTTGTAACCAACCACTTCTGAAATTAGATGTCTGAGAAAGGCTACGAAAAAACCCAGAAGAGATCCTTGGAGAAAGGAAGAGACTAGAAGAAATATTGGAACAATATCTTTCATTAAAATGGCCAAATCTCGGTCAGCTGTGACTGAGCTGCTGCATAACAGTAGTCAGTCCTGCCTATTTTCTCTTACCGCCTAATGTTGGGTAGTGTATAGCACATTAAATTCACTGAAACACAGAGACTGAAATGGTTTGAGCCAGGTAGTTAGAGTGAATCCAATGATGGCAGCGGGCGTTTATTACAAATAAAAACACGACAAAGGCAAACCTAGAAGAAAATGGTCTGTAGGAGTCACTGACAGCCTAAGACATTTGCAGCATCACAGCATATTGAGCGATTGAACGCAAGATATCTTGGCTACCTGTCATCTGTTAAACTGCAACACCTAGTCGCATTTAAAAAAAAGATATTGGCAAAAGAAGGAAGGAGGGGTACTTTAATTTGAGCTCACCCCAAACATAGGGAATCCCAGGAAAAGTGCAATATCGTTTTACAGTTTAAACACTGACTAACCCTAACACCTTTTAATATTTGACTTTTTCCTGGGATTCCTGGATGTTTGGGGGGAGCTAAAATGAAATTGCTGAAGGAAGGAGTTCCTGTGCTGTGCTGAGTAATTCTTTTTGTGTAATTTAGGGGAGAATATGTGCAGTGAAAGTGATTCTTACAAACTATCTTCTATTAGTCCATGCCATGTGGCATTTGTAGTCATACAGGTCCACAACCTTCTGTCTACTTCAGTCAGTCCTGACAAATGATCTTCCCTGCCATGTGGCATTTGTAGTCATACAGGTCCACTTCAGTCAGTCCTGACAGATGATCTTCCCTGCCGTGTGGCATTTGTAGTCATACAGGTCCACAACCTTCTGTCTACTTCAGTCAGTCCTGACAAATGATCTTCCCTGTCGTGTGGCATTGGTAGTCATACAGGTCCACAACCTTCTGTCTACTTCAGTCAGTCCTGACAAATTATCTTCCCTGTCGTGTGGCATTGGTAGTCATACAGGTCCACAACCTTCTGTCTACTTCAGTCAGTCCTGACAAATGATCTTCCCTGCCATGTGGCATTTGTAGTCATACAGGTCCACTTCAGTCAGTCCTGACAGATGATCTTCCCTGCCGTGTGGCATTTGTAGTCATACAGGTCCACAACCTTCTGTCTACTTCAGTCAGTCCTGACAAATGATCTTCCCTGTCGTGTGGCATTGGTAGTCAACAGGTCCACAACCTTCTGTCTACTTCAGTCAGTCCTGACAAATTATCTTCCCTGTCGTGTGGCATTGGTAGTCATACAGGTCCACAACCTTCTGTCTACTTCAGTCAGTCCCCTGACAAATGATCTTCCCTGCCATGTGGCATTTGTAGTCATACAGGTCCACTTCAGTCAGTCCTGACAGATGATCTTCCCTGCCGTTTGGCATTTGTAGTCATACAGGTCCACAACTTTCTGTCCACTTCAGTCAGTCCTGACAAATGATCTTTTCTGCCGTGTGGCATTTGTAGTCATACAGGTCCACAACTTTCCATCTACTTCAGTCAGTCCTGACAAATGATCTTCCTGTCGTGTGGCATTGGTAGTCATACAGGTCCACAACCTTCTGTCTACTTCAGTCAGTCCTGACAAATGATCTTCCCTGCCATGTGGCATTTGTAGTCAATACAGGTCCACTTCAGTCAGTCCTGACAAATGATCTTCCCTGCCATGTGGCATTTGTAGTCATACAGGTCCACAACCTTCTGTCTACTTCAGTCAGTCCTGACAAATGATCTTTTCTGTTGTGTGGCATTTGTAGTCATACAGGTCCACAACTTTCTGTCTACTTAAGTCAGTCCTGACAAATTATCTTTTCTGTCGTGTGGCATTGGTAGTCATACAGGTCCACAACCTTCTGTCTACTTCAGTCAGTCCTGACAAATGATCTTCCCTGCCATGTGGCATTTGTAGTCATACAGGTCCACTTCAGTCAGTCCTGACAGATGATCTTCCCTGCCGTGTGGCATTTGTAGTCATACAGGTCCACAACCTTCTGTCTACTTCAGTCAGTCCTGACAAATGATCTTCCCTGTCGTGTGGCATTGGTAGTCATACAGGTCCACAACCTTCTGTCTACTTCAGTCAGTCCTGACAAATGATCTTCCCTGTCGTGTGGCATTGATAGTCATACAGGTCCACAACCTTCTGTCTACTTTAGTCAGTCCTGACAAATGATCTTTTCTGCCGTGTGGCATTGGTAGTCATACAGGTCCACAACCTTCTGTCTACTTCAGTCAGTCCTGACAAATGATCTTCCCTGCCGTGTGGCATTGGTAGTCATGTCATCCATAGCCTTCTATCCCCTATACATTGTTATTTTAGATGATCTTCCATAGTCCAGGCCATGTGGCACTGGTAGTCATGTCTATCCACAAACCTTCTGTCTCATGTACTTTCAGTGAGTTTTGACATTGATGATCTTCTATACCTTGTGGCATTCGTAGTCGTGACATTTCACAGCTTTCTGATTGTGTACTTTTAGTCATTTCAGACAGATGATCTTCCATAACTCATGGTGTTGGTAGTCACGTCTCTCCACAGCCTAGTCAGTTCAGACAGATGATCTTCCATAACTCATGGTGTTGGTAGTCATGTCTCTCCACAGCCTAGTCAGTTCAGACAGATGATCTTCCATAACTCATGGTGTTGGTAGTCACGTCTCTCCACAGCCTAGTCAGTTCAGACAGATGATCTTCCATAACTTATGGTGTTGGTAGTCACGTCTCTCCACAGCCTTCTGTCTCGTTCACTTTCAGGCATTTCCAGCATCTGCTCCCTGGATCTCTGTCGGCCTATTTTCCCCTGCAACTTTCTCACCATCACGATGTAATCCAGTTTGTTTCTTTGTGTGTGCATTGTGACCAAAGAATGTAGATTGTCTCCATCTAATGATGGTAGTCCTTTGTTTTCATGAGTCAGTGTCTTTCAACATCTTCATTACTTTTTTTTTCTTTCCAGGGTGTTCTCACTGTTCATCTGTAAAACCACATCTCTGCTGCTTCCACATAATTTAATTTATCACTAATTGGCCAACTGTCCATTATTATCTTCTGTATATCATAGGATAGGATTCATGTAGCTCCTGAGAATTCTCTTTCTCACCTTAGTTGACAAAGACAGATTGCATAGAATATCCCTCATTTTGTCAAATGCTGCCTATGCTTAAGCTATTCTATATATAATTCTTTAATACATCTTCTATCTGCTGTTATTTACAAACCTAATCAGACCAACTCCTTGAACAGATTTCTATGCATATACATTTTCTGGCAAGTAATGTACCAATGCAAATGGGAAGAAGCATGGACAGAGCTGGTATCATCATCGACTAGGTTGTGGGATATGGCTGATTCTCTGACACAGCATAGTTGCGTGACTGAGGTGTTAAGTTTGGTCAAGCACGTCTGTACTGTCTTCAAGGATGAAGAAGGAGATACTATAACCAGCTGCTCATGGAAACAATCAGTAGAGACAACTTGGAGTGAGTGGCTGTTGCATCAAAGGGGAGGACTGTGCACGCATGTAATGCCAAATTAGCACAGATGTTGATTGTCATAACATAACATATATTTTCTTGTCTTGCCAGGTAAAAACTCAGTTGCAGCACCCTACAAAATACCATGTTCGTCAGAGCCAGAAAAGACAAGTCCAGAACTTTCTCAGCGAACACCAGGGAGGTCACATGCCTGTTCAGTCGCTTCCAGCCAATGTTTTGTCTATTTCTACACCAGAGCACTCACAGTACCACATACAGGCTTCCAGCAGTGCCCCAGAGACCGATCTACCTAGTCCCTTGCTTGGAGGATCAGGCACAGATGTAAGTCTTGTCATTACTATTGTACTACTTGTATGTTTCTCTCTCTCTACTGTATGTCTGTCTGTTCTCTCTGTCTTTCTCCTCCTTCTCTCCTTTTTCTTCCTCTTCTTCTTCCTCTTTCTCTTATTCTTCCTCCTCTTCTCATTCTTCCTCCTCCTCTTCTTTTTTTTCTTCCTCCTCTTCTTCTTCCTCTTTTTCTAGTTCTTTATCTTATTCTTTTTCTTCGGCATGTCAACTCCGGCGGAAAGTTCTGGGTGTTCGTCCACCTCCAGAATGAAGTCTTGTTCCAGAACCTCAGTGTTGCTTGTTCATCTATATCACACATCTGTCTTATTTGTGTATAGACTCTTGCCTCCTTGCCTAAGGCAGATGTTCCCCAGCTTGGAAGGATGCCCTCAGTTAATCAACTCCTACGACACGCTTGTCAGGGAGGCCGGAGGCCCGTGGGTCTTCTCTTGTTTTCCCCACAATGGTGCCCCTGGGCCAACACAGACAGCTCTGCTGTCAAATCCTCTACTGACTGGCACAATGGTTCTTAACCTTCCTCATGTTGCGACCCTTTAATACAGTTCCTCATGTTGTGGTGTCTCCCAACCATAAAATTATTTTCGTTGCTACTTCATAACTTCAGTGAAAATGTGTTTTCAGATGGTCTTGGGTGACTCCCTGTGAAAGGGTAGTTGGACCCCCAAAAGGGTCACGATCCACAGGTTGAGAACCGCAGGTCTATCATGAAAGAGGATTGCCAAGCCAAATTCATCCTGTTGCAAATTAGTTTCACCATTTTTACCTTCACTGCATGGTCCTTGCTGGCATTTATTCCCCCCCCCCCCCCCCCCCCCCTCCCAATAATTTGGACAAATTGTATCTGTACTTGAGTTGAATCTGTATATTCCCACACGTGTTTCTGATTAAGGGCTAAAATATTCATCTAGTGAGTTGTTTGCTTACCCTACAATTTTCGGCAGCAATTTTCTTCCTGGTTGTTTGGCCTTGCAAGTTTTGTTCTCTCCGTTTATATTCATAAACATGTGCTGTAGGTAATGCAAAACATAAGTGTTGTGTTACAGGAAGGATATAACGGAAGACTGGTTGTGTGTGTGTGTGTGTGTGTGTGTGTGTAAAGTTGCACTTGCGCCAGGGACACTGTTCAGTTGATGCTGACCTCACTTTCAATATCTGACGTAAGCTGGTTCATATTTTGAAGCCATGTTGAGTAGACCATGTTGTGGATTAGTTTTCTAAAGCCTAACTTTATTTTATGGCTTGAGGGGGTGGGGAATTAATTTCTGCATCAGAGGTTTTCATTCTGTTTTACGCTGTGGCTCCATTGATGAAGTGAATTCCTTCCTGTCTTCTCTTTGGTATTAAAACTCTAGTGATCTTTTTTCTTCTTGGTGCTTACTGGCTGTGATATCTGGCAGAATGTTCAGGTTGTTTGTCCCACTTCTAGACTTTGGTCTTCTTGAGGATTTGAGTTTTACATGCACATCTGTTTTACAGATCTAGCTTATCTCTTTCATTCCCAAGGAATGCATCATACCTTCATTAGGTTCCTACCTAGAAAGCCACTTGAACACCAGTTTTACATGTCTGGGTATTCCCCCTTGGGCCTCTGATGCTAACCCCCATAGGACTGAAAGAGTTAGTTATATGCAGACTGTTGGTTCCTCACCTCTCAGGCATAGTCACTCAAGGAAACACCAGTTACATTTGATAACCTGCCTTTTAAGGGGGCAGTGGCATATTCTTTTTTTTTCTTTCTCCACACAAATCGGGCTACAGAACCAACACCACGAGCACTAGGAATGTTTTGGCAATGTGTCTGATTAAGGAAAGGGTCAGGTTGTCTGATTAAGGAAAGGATCACATTATCTGATTAAGGAGAGGATCAAGTTGTATGATTAAGGAAAGGATCAAGTTGTCTGACTGAGAAAAAGATCAAGTTGTCTGATTAAGGAAAGGATCAACCTGTCAGCACCGGGATTGATCCCAACTGGTCCATTCTCTCACAGCTGACTGGCTGGTTACCTGCTAAGAGAGTTACACAGGGCGCGAACTGAATAGCTTTAGTGGCAGCACCCAAGTAATCTCCTCCAAATGACACTCATGAACCGAGCAACACATTCTGAAAACATACTCAAGACCTGTTGCATTTGAGAGCAGATGGCTTTGTCAGTTAGTCACACTGACATTATGCCTAATCGTTTTTTTTATTATCTTAAAGCTTTACAGAGATGTTTTAAAGAAATTTTTTTTATAGCTTTGAACATCTGTGATTAAACTCTTTAGGTAAATTTATGTGTACGTATGAAAATGTATTAATGGTCGTCATCATCATCATCATCATCATCATCATTTTCCACTTTTGCCATCAAATGTTGTGGAGAGGAAGAGTTTTTTGCAGTCCAGCTGTGTATGGATGAAACTGGCCATTATCGTTCCATGTGGATGTAAAGTGTCTTTAATGTCATCAGTCTATGTTCTTCTTAGGTGGCATCTTGCTTTCACATCAGATATTTTTAGGTGTAATGCCTGTGTTGGTAGATCTTGTAGCTGCATTCCAGCAAGATGTCCCAGCCATTTACTTTTCTGCTGTTTAGTGAATTTGATGCAATGTGTTGTTCCCAGAGTCTGTCAGATAGTATCATTTCTCAATCAGTCTCGATTGGTTGAGTTGTCAGCCTTTCCTCAGACATCTCTCATCACAACTCAAGTCTCATTGAAGAACGCAATTTTTTTTTTTTGCTTATTTAAAATCCCCACTGCGGCTGTGTCCTGAGGTCCTAAAAATTACCTAATGGTTGAACAGGGTTTTAGAGACTTGGGGGGGGGGGGGGGCTTCTCATCCAAACAGTGGCACTTTGTGTCACTGGGTCTTAATCACCCATTGTGCGGTCCTTGTAGGGTTGCATTTCCTCAATCTGGTATCTTATCTCACAGGCATGAATTTTACATAGGTGAACCTTTGAGGTTGTCTGAGTTAGGCAATGTTAACACCGTGTTGGCATGAATATACTGCTTATAATAAAGTCTTGCTTGGCAGTACTGTACACAGAAGCCTTGACAAATCATTACTGGAAAGAACAGAGAAACAAAGTATATATTCAGATAAAGTATATTTCAATTTAAAGTAATTTAAAAAAAAAAATCAACATCCATTCACATCTTGTTTTTAGTCCATTGGGCATGGCATCGAGGAGCGGCTGGCCAAACGGTTAGGGCGCTGGGTTCTCATACGGGATACCCAGGTTTGAATTCTCGGTAAGGTTGTGAAATCCTACCCTGCACAGTTCGTGGGGACAGTACTAGTAGCTATGCAGCTCTTAATCCTTAGGCTAAACCCCACCCTCTCTCCGCCGACACCGCAAAAGTGGCAGATACATACAGTAATTGCAGTTTTGTTCATGATACCCACAGGACCCACCTTTAGCAAGTTCAAAACCCTTGTCCTCCCATAGCCTTTGTTATTACAATAGCAATGCTATCTACCGTATCATACACCAGCTAACACATTCCTACCAGCAAAAAAGCTGAGACATCAAACACGCATACACACACGTAAGTAACAGACAGGTTGTCTGCAGCTGTTCGTATGGGTCAGGGCAGATGTTTTATTTTCATTCTTGCGGCGGCAACTGTTGAACTGTATCTTGTTTTGTTTGTTGGTAGAGACGGATCCGTTTTTGTTTCAAGGATTAGTGTCTGTACAAACTTGCTTAGTCTTCAGTTACGCGGGGTCAGGTTATCTGTTGCAGTTAAGGACAGGACAAAGGTGGAGGGGGATATGATATAAACAGTCAGTGTAATTACTTCCTTTTGTGTTGAATCCAGTCCATTTTGGTGAGAGAAGAAAAGTTGAGTGCCCAAGCACAGATTTATCTATTTATCTATCTATCTATCTATCTATCTATCTATCTATCTATCTATCTATCTATCTATCTATCTATCTATCTATCTATCTATCTATCTATCTATCTATCTATCTATCTATCTATCTATCTATCTATCTATCTATCTATCTATCTATCTATCTATCTATCTATCTATCTATCTATCTCTCTGTCTGTCTGTCTGTCTGTCTGTCTGTCTGTCTGTCTGTCTGTCTGTCTGTCTGTCTGTCTGTCTGTCTGTCTGTCTGTCTGTCTGTCTGTCTGGTCGGTCGGTCGGTCGGTCGGTCGGTCGGTCGGTCGGTCGATCTTTCTATCTATCTATCTATCTATCTATCTATCTATCTATCTATCTATCTATCTATCTATCTATCTATCTATCTATCTATCTATCTATCTATCTATCTATCTATCTATCTATCTATCTATCTATCTATCTATCTATCTATCTATCTATCTATCTATCTATCTGTCTGTCTGTCTGTCTGTCTGTCTGTCTGTCTGTCTGTCTGTCTGTTTGTCTCTGTCGGTCGGTCGGTCGGTCGGTCGGTCGATCTATCTTATCTATCTATCTATCTATCTGTCTGTCTGTCTGTCTGTCTGTCTGTCTGTCTGTCTGTCTGTCTGTCTGTCTGTCTGTCTGTCTGTCTGTCTGTCTGTCTGTCTGTCTGTCTGTCTGTCTGTCTGTCTGTCTGTCTATCTATCTATCTGTTGTGGAGAGAAACACTGACCGACTTTATCTGTCTGTCTGTCTGTCTGTCTGTCTGTCTGTCTGTCTGTCTGTCTGTCTGTCTGTCTGTCTGTCTGTCTGTCTGTCTGTCTGTCTGTCCGTCTGTCTGTCCGTCGGTCTCCATGTCTGTCAATCAATTCACTTTAGCCACTAAATTATTCCCTCATGCACGCATTTATGCATCCATCTTTCCGGAGTCCGCGTTCACATGTCTGAACACAAAATGAGAGAGAGAGAGAGAGAGAGAGAGAGAGAGAGAGAGAGAGAGAGAGAGAGAGAGAGAGAGAGAGAGAGAGAGAGAGAGAGATAAAAATAAAATCATAAATGACATCCTGCTTGGCACAGCCAGCAGCACATCTTGTTTCGGCTGTCCCACCAAT